ACATGGACCCCAACACCAAAAAGTTTTCATTAATTGAAAGAAATGTTTGTAAGCACTATCTGCTTACAAACAAATCTATAATGACAAAAAAAAAAAAAAAAATGCAAACCACCATGGACATATTTCCGAAAAGAGTGACACCTCTTTTAGAAGAGCCTTAGGCAGGTCCTTCAGGAAGTGTTCCAGAAGAAGGCATTGTTATCACAGGAGTTGACAGCTCCATGCCTGCTATTGTCCCTGAAGACCTCTCAGAGGGACAAATGTGGAGGTGGAAGACAGTGATACTGATGATCCTGACCCCACGAAGGCCTAAGCTAATGTGTATGTGTCTTAGTTTTTAACAAAGAAGTTTAAAAATGAAAATAAAATTTAAAAAGTTTTAAATAGAAAAGAGCTTATAGGATAAGGATATAAAGAAAGAAAATATTTTGTACAGCTGTACAATACATTTGTGTTTTAAATAAATGTTATTACAAAAAAGCAAAAAGTTACAAATAATTTTAAAGTTTATAAAGTAAAAAAGTTACAGGAAGCTAAAGTTAATTTATTATTTGAAGAAAGAAAAATGTTTCAAATATAGTGTAGCCTAAGCGTACAGTGTTTATAAAGTCTGTAGCAGTGTATAGTAATGTCCTAACCTTCACATTCCCTCATCACTCACTGACTCACCCAGAGCAACTTCCAGTCCTGCAAGCTCCATTCATGGTAAGTACCCTATACAGGTGAGCCATTTCTTAAATCTTTGCAGCCTTATTCTTACTGTACTTTTTCTGTTTAGATATGTTTAAATACACAAATACTTCTCATTGTGTTATAATTGCCTGTGGTATTCAGTACAATAGCATGTTGTATGGGTTTGTAGCCTAGGAGCAATGGGCCATACCATGTAGCCCAGGTGTGTAGTAGGCTGTGTCATGCAGGTTTGTGTAAGTGAGCTCTATAATGTTCGCACAATGATGAAACTGCCTAATGCTGCATTTCTCAGAACATAGCCAAGTAGTTAAGAGAAGCATGCCTGTACTTTAAAAAAGACTGGGACTGATCCAGCCACACCCAGATTTAAGGCCCTTTGTAGAGAACACATACCTTCTAAATAGCTCAATGTTTACATTTGCTGAGAGCTACAACTGGAGAATGTTTCCAGCTTCTTTCCATTGTTGTCATATTTTAACCTTTCATTCCTTATACTCTTTTTTTTTTTTTGCTAATAGCTGAGGAGCAGTCTAGATTAAATTAAAACAGAAGAAGCCCACTGCATAAACTGCGAGCAGGCCAGGAATGGTACTAACATCAGGGTTGGAGGGATGCCAAGTTGTGGGAGGAACTCAAATCATGGGCAAATAAGGAGAAAACTAACTGGAGGTGTCCACATAGAATGCCAGTGCTTTCTCTTGGCATGAGATGCGACCACATGATGGGCCCAGGTTGACTACCTGGAAACCAGAGTTTCTAAGGAAAGACTGCTCTGTTAACATTTCAACTGGAACTCTAGAGTTTACTAATTCTACAAGGTCTTCCTGATATCTTTCCCTTAACTGATATTGGTTGTTGGCTTAGCTATTGTTGAATTATGCCTCCAGGCAATAATTTACCCACCGTTCATCAGAAATTACTACCACTCACTCATCCAGATATAAGACACTTTTATTCATTTCTCCGACCTCATAGCTATTCAGCCACTCCCCAGACCCAATCCACAACCATCCAGCAGTCTATATACCCTCCTAACAAGCACAGTGATAGGTGGTAGTGTGGGATAGTGATGGGGAAGACAAAGATAGATGTCACATTTCTGACCCTTAAGAAACCTAAAACTAAGGAGATAGAGCAGAGGAGATATTCACTTAGCAGGTAATTATAATTCAATGCTGGCAACAGTGGCATCAGGTATAGGAGAATCCAGGGTTGGAATACCAACCACCTGGGAGGTGGGTTATCAGAGATGGCCTCCAGAGTAGGTGACATCCAGTCAAATAGAGATAGTAAGAAGGGTATCCCAGAGAGGACATCAAAAAAGCTATCAAAAAAAAAAAAAATCAGGTGAAAGTTGCAGAAGCGTGTAGAGCCAAGGAGTTGTTGGAACATTAAGTATGAGGTATCACGTAAAAAGAAATGAGGGTAGAGAGATGGGGTGGGGAAGTGGCGGGGGGCGGGGAGTCAGGTCACAGAGGCCATGCCACACTAAGAGCTTCAACCTGACCCTCAGGATAATGAAAACCACTGTAAAGCTTTAAGCAAGGGAGCAACAGGTCTTCTCCCAGCCTATCTGAAAGTTCACTGCTGTTGGACTCCAGGAAGCAAAAGTTCCCTGGTGCCTTTGTCCCACAAAATTCCTGGGGCCTAGAATAAAAAACTTTTCAAAATAAGAGAAAAGTAGAGCTTTTAAAATTAACTCCCTAAATGTCTGCATATGATCTATTTAAATAAAATAACACATCTTGTGGTATTTTTTTCCTCACTTACAGACAACAGTGTTTAAAATAAGGACCACTTGTCTTTTTCTGTGTATTTTTGTAGTGAACTTTAAAAATATATATATAATAGTACTATTTTCCACATGTTTAATTAGTTTTATTGTCTATAAACTTAATCAAATATCTCTGGAGGGATATGTAAGAAAGCAATAATATTAGTCACTGATGGAGTAAAAATTAAAAAATTTTGAACCTTATAAATGTATTTCCTGTTTTTAAAAAATGCTAACTTTTTAAAATATATTTTAAAAATAGGAACAGATATATGGGGGCGGAAACATTTTTTTTTTGAGGGGTTGGAATGTGGGGTAATTAGCCCAATATACTAAAATTATACTGAAATCTGCCCAATATACTAAATAGTCATTAAATTTCATACTCAACCATTCAAATCCTGAAACTTAAATTCCAAGAATCATGTCTGTCTTCTTACAGAGGTACCCTCAGTACACAGAACAGTGCTTAGTATCACAAAGAGCTAAATAATAATATTTGTTGATTGCTGAAAATATAAATGTCAAAACAGTCTCTTTTTTTTTCCTGAAAACTTTTTGTCTATACTGTGTGAAGACAAAGTCCTCAACACACTGCTTGAGCCAGACCAACGCCTGTTCCAGATGGGACTGAGGAAGCTGGCACCGGAGCTCGTGTGGGGTGTGGTGATCAGTTCCAGCAAGGACACCTTCCTGTGACTCAAACTAGTGCAGCAGCCCACTAAGCCTCAGCATGCTCACTGTCTTCCAACACACGCGCACACACACACACACACACACTCTCACACACACACTGCTAACCTTATTTCCAGCTAAAAGTGGTAAGGTGGAGCTTACTTTCACTGCCCTCCTCATTTCCCCCACCTTTTACCCTTTCTCTTTTTGGGGATTCTGCAGGGGATTTGCTTTAGATATACAGGAAAGAAGAAAGGATTATTCTTTCTCTTCCTGGTGCAAGAGAAAAAGTTCAAATCTCAGGCCACACAAATCTAGGATCAGGTCCAAGCTTTGCCTTAAACAAGCTGTGTGAAGATGAGCATATTACTTCATATACCTCTAAGCCTTTTTTTCTTTACCTGTGCATTAGGATAACAACGATTATTTCTCATAATTAAAGAAATGATGTAGAATATAACATATCTGGCACAGACTACATCAACAAAAAATATCGGATGGCACATGTAGAATATTTACATGTTTTAAATAGTTATTTCTAAAAAATAAGGATGAATATTCACCACACTATAAGTATTGGTTCACTCCCCCTCCTACGAGTTTGTAATCTGACAATTTAGTATGTCTGAAAATAAACTGCTCAAAGGATAGCAGCATATGTCTCTGTCCCCGGCCACCTTGCCAGTCCTCGTTCTGCCTCTTTCTCTAAATAGATTTCTGTGGCTACCACTCTAGCTTAGCTCTTAGGAATGCTGAATTCTTGGGCACCTAATAACTGCTGTGAATGTGACTTTCGGATAAGAAGAGAGTTTCAAACAGCACTCAAATGTGTTAACAGTAATATTTACTACACATAAGAGCAGGGAGTTATTTCAAGAATGGCAGACATAGGGCCACCCTCACACAGGGCTGATATCCACAGTGCTGGTATAATAGTGGGAACTACTGTACTGGAGCCTTATTGGGAAGAGGTGTGCAGATTACACAGGTAATCTCAGACAACATATGGGAAACAGAATTTTGAAAAGAAACTCAGTCTTGAATCAAAGAGGGAGTTTGGTGCTGCTGCTATTGTTGTCATTGTTTTTATTATTATTAATAATAATTTTATTGCCTTCAGTTGCCTGGCATACATTAGACCAATTCCTAAATTATCATAAACAATAGAAAAGCATATAAACACAACAGGCTACAAACTGGAATTTCTAATAAAAATCTGTGACTTTAAAATTGGGAATTTACTTTGGATCCACTCCAGCTGGAATCTCTCTCTGTATGTTATGTTTCATTGTTACTCATTCTTCTAGGCAATAAAATATCAGACTAGATTTACTCAACCAAGTCAGTTGAGACCTGGGTATTTGTCCAGGTCATAGACTAGAGACATTTAAGCTGGAGTGATAATTTGTGAATTGTCCAAAGAGAATTCAAGGATTCTAAAAACAGCCCCATGAACTTTGAGCAATGACTGAGCATCAGTGTAATACTGTGTAACATCCTCTGAATGAAATACTACCTATTTCAACTCTTACATTGTAGCCGTGCTTATTGAGGACTGCAGAAAACATTCATTCAAAAGACTGAACTGAAAGATAGTAACCATGTGATATATGATCAAGGTAGTTTTGCCAGAGCTCCTGTGGGTCAGAATTTTTCTTAGATCACTATATTGCACATAGTTATAAGACAACAGAGCTGGCATCAAACTGTCACTAAGAAGCAACCAGACTAATAGTTTTCTAAGCATTAAAAAACTTTTTTCAAATAATTTCAAAGGAGTCAGTTCTCTAAAGGAGTTGAATGGTAGCAAATTCAATATTCAAACAGGAAAAAAATGGTACTGGAAATTGGTACCTACCTGGAATCCTATTAAGTGTCACCCAGAAATGTTCATCAGGACTGTAGGTATCTTTTGACCAGTGTAGTAAATCAATGGCCCTTTTGTCATGGAAGACAAAGTTGACAAACTCTCTGGTAAGGGCCACATAGGCAGTGCCAAAGTAGATGGTCAGCTGATGTGGAGGTGAGGTTTTCAAAATATTAGTATTTTTCACAAAAGAGCCATCTTTGCCCAGGTGCTCTCGGTGGACGTATTTAGTTCGTCCAATTGCATGAGCTGGGGGCAGCACCCCTGGGGTAATGTTTTTCCCTTTAAATCCTTTCAGATACTGAATTATTTCCTTGTTGGTTTTCAGGGGGAAATCTTGCCCACAGGTGTTGATGGCGTACTTCCACGGGATCTCCGAGGCTACCAGGTCTTTCAGGCAGTTCAGGTCAGCCTGGAGCCTGGAGATTCCTGCATAAACCACAGGCTCTATCTTTGAAGCAATAAAAGCATTTTGGAAGCAACTCAGTAACTGCCACACAGATTTCTTAAACTCAGCTGTGGCTTTCTCATCCACATGAACACAGTAGACATTTTGGGGCATGTAGATAGCCCTGAAGAGCCTTTCAAAAGTATCAAAGTCCTTATGGATGACCATGACATAGGCCAAGGGGAATGCCACTTCTTCTTCTGAGAGGGGGCTTGTGATGTAGTGATTCTGGATCAGGTAGTCCTCGCAAGGGACACCTCCCAAAGGTGATGTCAATATCTTCTCCCACAAAAAAGTTGACTTACCTCCTAATGCGTCCTTACAGGCGTGTATTCCAGAATACCTTTCACTGGAACTATTCAGCTTCCTTTTTGGCAGGTTTAATTGGCTATTGTAATGTACAAAAAAAATAACCACACCGAGCACAATAAAAGCAAAAAGGTAATACTTCCAAAAGTTCATTATTTTCACTTCCTTGGGGAAGGAATCTCTCTCCAGGGATTCAGAAATGATCAGTCCCTGAAACTACAAGAGTGAAGAGGTTGAATGAAATTCCTTTGCCAGTCTTGACTTTCGACAGCTTCTCAAGCGGGCTTCCTTTCCCCGAGTCCTTTAATCCTCATTTATTTTCTGCTTCAGTGTCATGTCCATCCTTCTTGGCGGTGGCAAGAGAGAGGACATGGTTCTCTAACACTCGCGGGTCTCAGGCCCGGAGCGCGGAATCCCGTCAGCCAGCAGAGCGCAGAGCACAGCGCTCATCGCTCAGCCCAGGCCAGCCCAGCCCAGCCCAGCCCAGCCTTCGGAAAGCCCTTCTCATTTGCATGTGAAACGCAAGTGGTGGATCTTAGCAAATTACGTTTTGGAATGGAATGACGGGTCCTTTTCACTGGGGCTGTTTCTCTTGCTTCACCCCACCCCCATTCCAGCCAATCTATTCCGATCTGATCTCCCTTCCATTCTCACGCTTTCCCCTTCCCTTTTAGAATAAGTGGTTCTACTTTTTCGTATCGGCCTGGCAACTTGCTAGCAGTATTTGGAAACCACAGCATTTAGGACGATTGCTCTTTATGGTTCTTCCTGTTTCTCTGCCACCGCTTTTCATTTCAGTGTTATCTCTCCCTCTGAACACATACAGACACAGATAAAGAAAAATGCATTTGCAACATGTCTAAGTTGCCAAGATTATCAGCAGCAAAAGTCTGGTGGTGAGAGATTTCCTGGATTAAATCTCTTTCTGGTGGTGTTACATAGCATCTCTATGTATGTGCAGGCAATGAAAAGAAATAAGAAGTACACTCTTGGGGGACTGGGATGAGGGTGCAAGGGACTTAGACGTGACTCTTAGCATTGAAGGGTTGGTGCAGATGACATAAATGAAATAAACACACCTTAGTTTGCACTCCAGAGAGAAAGGTGATAGTCATTGTTCCCAGAGAGCAAGAGTTGGTTCCTGTTTCACACAGAGCTTCAGATAACTTGAGCTGTTGAAATGATTATCATCTACAATGTGTGGAGTGACTAGACACTGGGCCTCTTGATAAGCCTGACAGCTTGAAATTTGAGGTCATTTCACAGAACTCAAAGGATTCTACTTCCCACCCAATGTCCTCTCCCACTTCCTTACTCTGAAGAAAGAACAAAGGCTTCTTTCTGGGCTGCAGTAAAATTCCTGGAAGTATCAATCAGTGAAATTCAGAGGAGCCAGGAAAAGAAGCCCGACAGATCTGGTCACATTACAGGGGTTCTCATAGCTCAGGTGTGCCAGGTGCCTCGACCTCTTAGCAAATGTGGAATGCATTTGCAGATTGATGTAGATGGTAAGGATGCTTCTGGGGGAAAGTAACCAGTCCAACTAAAAGATAAACCACAGCAACCACGGTGAGTGTGCTGAAAATAGCTTGCTCCCATCTCATTCCCATAGTCACCCAGCTATCCTCCTTGTCTGGGCATGGTGGGCAACTGGAGCAGCTGTTCCTGTTAGGAAAACATCTGGTATATGATGCAGCAAACTTCCTGCCCTTTCTTATGTCATGCCACCCCTTATCTTCCTATAGTTCCCCGGACGAATGAATGGTAACGGCAGCATAGATGAGATGGATACTGATTTGGAGATATCAGACCCAAAGAGTTGCCAGGGATCTTGAAGATCACCTAACACAACCTTTTATTTTATAGATGAGGAAACTAAAGTCAATAAAAAAAATATTTTTTTCAAAGTCATTCAGCTAAATAGAAGCCAGAGCCTTAATTCTGTAGTTCCCTAGTCCAGATGCTGGAGCCAGTCTAATTGGTTTTAAATCCAAACTGGTCACTGACCAGCTGTGTGACCAGGGTAAGGTTACTTGGCCTCTTTAAGCACCATGTTCTTTGTCTACAAGATAGAAAATAACAGTGGTTACTATTTCACATGGTTAAGAATGTTAAATGATATTAACTCTTGTTTAGGGTTTATGTATATGTTCATACACGTTCAATAAGCATTAACAATTTTTGTTGTTTCTCTTTTGAAAAATATCCGACATTTCTGACTCTGTTAATAAACGGATATTTTTATTTCTGTTTTTAGTAATGGAGAAGAAAAATATTTACCCTTTTAAGGCTTTCAAATGGGTTGAAATGGGTTATTCCCACTCAAAAAGCAGAGGTTGAGTTCTACTCTTTTTCTTCCTCCTCACTATTCCTCTTCATCTTGGGGTGAGGGGAATAATAAGAATGTGGCTATCAAAAGGGAAGCACTGAATAAAAGCACTGAATAAAAAAAGGGGAAGCATTGATGCCGTCACTTCCCTTAATTCTTACTGGAACCGTACTCTTTTCTGCAAAATACGTTGTCGGCAGGACTTGTGGAGAGCAGAAGTGGGGAAGGGAGAGAGGGAATAGGAGGCAACGTGCAGTTTTGGTCGGGTTTCTCTCCCTCTCTTTGCCTTGAGCCTTTATCCTACAATAGGGAGCTCTAAAAAAAAAGCCGATGCAACAAACTCGACAAGACTTTAAACATTATTTAGTCAAAGCGAACTGTAGATGGGTATATCGTGACTTATAGTTCAGGACAGCAGTATCCAAAAAAACAAACAACAACAACAACACAAAACACTTCTACCTGCTTGGTATATTGTGACTTATAGTTCAGGACAGCAGTATCCAAACAAACAAACAACAACAACAACAACACAAAACACTTCTACCTGCTTTATTTACAATGGTTTAGATGAACAGCCTGAGATTAGAATGTGATGCCTTTTTAGCAATTGGCCCAACAGGAGGTTTGTTTTGCCTGGTGTCTGTGATAAATGAACAGGCACTGTCTTCCAGCAAATAATTGGGCGGTCTAAGTTATTAACCTCCAACCAGGACATTATATCTGCTCTATTCACTTTAGTTGCTTAACATATTGAAATCTGTCATCAACTGGACATTTTGTATTCACTCCATGCTTCTCTCTGCTCCAGGATAACCTTCATCATCACAAACAAGGAGAAAGCACAAGGACAACAGCTAAGAATACTTAGTAAGCTCAGCTCGACACCAAACTAAGGGCTCAGCTATCTGGGGGCTTTCTGAGAACACAGTGGAATCTTTTTTCCCTCACAGTCCATTAGTTCTTGTTAACCTTACTTGAGCTGTGCTTCCACCCCAGCTGGGCCAGCACAGGCAAAAGCAAATGATGGTTCTTGCAAAGGCAGAGTTGAAATCCTGGCCTGACTTGTTTCCAAGTCCTCGTAGTTCTCCTCTACCTCAGATTGCTTCTCTTGGAGTAATTATTGGCTACTGAATCAAGGCAATGCTTTTGAGGCGTCCTCTCATCTTTATCAACTTTACACCATTCTGCTTCTCATCTAAGTCTTTGGTTGCGTCAATCTGGCAACCTCAAACACTTTGGCCACAAACAAGACACAGCAAGTAAATGAGAAAAGATCTCTCAGCAACCCAAACAATGATCACATGTTGTAGGCTGGATTCACACACTCAAATGTGTACAGGCAGGTAAGTGAAATAAGTACGTGAAGCTGGTTGTAGGAAAGGAAAAACAGGGCTAATGAGTTCACAAGTGGCAATTAACACAAGGCCAAGATGTCATGGATGTGCAGGGAGGGTGGGGACACTGGTAAAGAACGTGTGCCCCACCAAAAGCAAGCAGCTCCCTCTCAATGCCAGTGATTAATTCACACTGGATCATACTATAGGACCGATGCTGCCAGCTCTTCTTATATTTCAAGAGAAGTGAGAAATCTAAATTTTATTTTTTAAAAAGTTCCCAAACTCTTTAAATGTTATCAAGTAATTAACAAATTTTTAAGACACGAGTCCATCCCTCAGGATGTCAGTTTATCATCTTTGCTTTAAACATCAAAGGATTAAACACCTCTTGAGGCTTCTCCTGTTAACTCTTAGTATAGGCACACTCTTAACATACTTTCTCAGACTTGAGCAGGTAAGAAGTCGCAAATTAGAAGAGGGAGGTAGAACTAGTAGATTCGGCACCCTGTTGTCAGCAATAGGTGATGTACAGAGAATGAAGAAGGCTCAAGAAAAACTCCAAAAGCAGATCAGGGCCAGATTATTCAATGAAAAGATAACCGGCACTTGTACAGCTCAATAACCATTTTATTATTGTCGACCAATACCTCTAGTATTTTTAATTATCAAATAAGTTAACATCTATGAAAGGGCTTGAAGACTGACCATCAGTTCAAACATTGGGCCAACCATACCTCTGAAAGCAAGCGGAGTCCTAATATTTAGTGAAATAGAAATAGAAATGTATGAACAAATATCTTCTACGTATATTCTGCATATTCTGTTTAAAAAGGCATTTATGAAGTGTTTATTTCAAATAGCTTTTTAAAAAATAAACCATTTTGCGAACAAAATGCACAGTTATGACAAAAAGTTTTTTCCTAAAAGATGGTAACAAATATGTGTTACCATGATTCTACATCAGGATTTAGCACTTCTTCTGTAAAAGGGCCAGGTAGTAAATATTTTAGGCTTGTGGGTCATTTGGTTTCTGAGGCAACCATTCAACTCTCATACTGTAGCATGAAAGCAGCCATAACAATATGTCCTGCTAAAACTTTATTGGTATTAATATATCATTGTCATATCATTTTTTGTCATGAAATAGTCCACTTTTGAATTTTTTTCAACCATTTAAAATTGTAAAATCATTCTTAGCTTTCAGGTAGTAGAAAAATAGGCCAGATTTAGCCCATGGCTGTATGTAGCTTGCTGATTTCTGTTCTAGATTATAATCATGTTCCTCCAGGCCTAAATTTTGCAATACTGACATCTTTGCAATAACCTATAATTTCTGTTTTTTCCCGATGAAGAAATGTGAAATGAGGGGAAATAATTATGTTGATCCTTCTTATATAACCATTTGGGTCATAGGGAAGAACCCTAGAATGTATGCATGGGTGTCTTCTATGAAACAGAGATCATAAGAACACTGACCTCTTAAGAGATTTAAATAGGTTAGTACATAAAAAGATATTAGAACAATGCCTTGTACATAGAAAGGATTCAATAATCTTAAGGCATCTCTCTCTGTGTTGCCAAACGACTTATCTAGGACTCTAAACACTTCAGCCACCTTCTTAACTAGGTTTAGTGAAGAACAGCTGTGCTTCATTATTTACGGCGGCCAAGACATGGAAACAACCAAAGTGTCCTTTGACGATTGGATTAAGAAGGTGTGGTACATATAGACAATGCAATACTACTCAGCCATAAGGAAAAACGAAATACTGCCATTTGTGACAACATAAATGGATCTCAAGATTATCATGCTAAGCGAAATAAGTCAGGTGAAAAAAGTCAAGAACCATATGATTTCACTCATATGTGAGA